ATATTTTGAGATCCTTAGTATGTGCAATGTATTTCTTTCTATAATACACACTTCTTGCTATTTCACGAGTGTGCTTATAAAATTGTTTTAAAAAATAAATACAGTATGCTATATGGTAAATTAATTCTCATCAATTCAGTCTCTAACAAATACAGAACTCTTCTGTTCATATACTGTGCACAGTTGATTCAATGATAGTCTATACCATTTGTTACTGTGAACATTATGAATACCCTCAAAGCACCTAAATTTGTGACAGCATTTCCTTCTTACCATGAATACTTCCCAGCAGAATATCACCAGCTACTGAAGACAGAGATGATGATTCTGCATAGAGATACTTAGTTTTCAGCAGCCCATCTTCAGTAGATATGTTGATGGATGTCCCCTGCAGCTTCTCTATATTCACACTCTAAAGGAAACAAACATAATAGAAAACTTGTCATCAGTTTGAAAAGGCAGAGGAAAGTAACAGTATTAGAGGCAAAACAAATGGAAAGCAGTTGTTGGTGCAGAACAAACAGAATCAAGTTCTTAGTTAAAAGCTACACAAGACAAAACAAAAACCCTTTTCATCCAAGAACTCTGACCAATAAGTTAATGATTCTTTACAACATTCCTACGAATTATTACATCTATCACACAGGTGAAGAACCCAGATAGTCACAAATGGATGAAAACCACCTTGACTTATTTTTAGAAACCGAAACATTTCATTTTGAAAAGTTAAAAAAGGATTAGCTTTAATAATGAAGGCTTAAGGTCCATACAACATTGTGACACTTAGAGCATTGGTAAACAGTTTTATGCCACCATACGCTGAAACATCCACTGTCTTTATTAAAAATCTGCATAAACAGCTGAATGTAACTTCATAGACATTGCTTTGGTGGAGGTATGCAAAAAAGCCACAGCTGCTCTTTTTCTCAGTGTAATTGTTCACATCACCTTGGTCACTCAGGCCTCTGTTCTTGGACTTAAGCCTCAAGCTATACAAAGTCTTGAAAAATGAGGGATAAGATCACCATTTCTACTTTTCAACAGAAATTGAGAGAAAGGGTAAGATTTTAAAAGTTGCCCTATGGATACAATTGGGGAATAAAAGGTGATAGATGAGATTATCTATGTGCAAGTAACCAGTGGTGTGACATAACCTACACCTATCTGAACAAAACAGATCATGGGCTTGTGCAACTACCATATGAGTTTAATTCTATCTTCCTCAGGTAAACTTGATTTATGATGTAATCATGCAATAGTTCACAACTCCCACTCAACTTGTTTTTAATTTTCTGATGCAGACTAAGTGAATTACACAAAATCCTTATTAATTACATGAAATAATATATGGCCTCCGAGATCAAACTGTGCCCTATGTCAAATTATGTTTAAATCCACTTTGTCATTTTAGCATTGCCATCTTGAGGAAAAAAGTAAATGCAAAAAAAGAAGTCTACCGACCCTTCCAGTGTTATATTACATAAAGAATAAGATGTGGGTAAAGTAAGAGGTATTCTGACAAACATCAGCTAGTATTGTGCAAACTCCATGCTCTACTGTATCCCAAGAAGTGAGCTAAAGAAGCTGGTTTAGTATGGACTATGACAGCCAAATGAAACTGTAACCTTACCAATACGCACACACTCAGCTTTATGCCGTCTTTACAGCTTAATAGTCTATTCTGTAATCTTATGACTTGCCTTAATACTTTTTTACATGACGCTACCAAACAAAGTAAGTCTCCAAGGACATAAGCCACTTTAAGAAAATGTGGGGATCGAAGTGCTGTGCTAGAATTAGAGATATACAACAGTCAATATCTACAATCAAACGCTTCTGCTTAAAACTATGATACAAAAATCTAAGCTTCAACAATAAACAAACCCAAAGATATTAAGGCATAATTTTTTACTACTAGAAGTGACAGCAATTCAGCTTTTAAATTTTTCAATGCCTCTAACAAAACTCTAACAAGCAGAGACCTTAAACATAAGTTTACATTGCATCTGCCCTAGGAATGTTTCCAACAGAATATTCCACTACTCTCTCACCCACAACGGCAAAGTGCAAACCTGCTGTGGCATATGGCCAAAACAACAAGGGAAAAAAACCAAACCTGTCATTTTAGGGTCTATGACCTAAATATGTTCTGAAGAGAGTTAACTGACTTGCAAAGAACCTTTCAAGTTTTAGCAGGGCCATCATTGCTATCAGCACAACGAAAATAGAGCACAGCACACTTTAAGGTCGTGAGTGGGATAAATTAAAAATATCTGCATAGTTTGGGTGCCTTGGGGCATTCCTGCATTGGAAAAGAAAAGCTCAAAAAGCTATATCTGTTACCAGGGTATGCAAGTTTTGACATTATTTAGATGGTCTTCTTATTTAAATATTATGAAGTGCTTCATTATAAACAAGTTCACATACCCACTCATCTTATTTACCAGCCTTAGCTACTTTTCTTAAAGCAGCACAGCAATAAAAAGAGTTATCTTAGCACATGATAAAAAGAAGTACCGCGTCACCTAGTTACTGTAAAAAAATAAAAAAAACTACCAATACAATGAACATTTGTTTCAGAATAACCCAAATCACAGGAAAGAAGTCAGACTGCTCAAGTACAAGACTAAAAAAGTATTCTAGATAGGGAAAGCATAAAAAAAGTTTGGTTTATACCAAGACTAAATATGTTTTCGATCCCAAATTATTTAACTCTTATGAGTTTTTGGCAGAACACAGATGTTTGGGTCCACTAAACAAGCATTACAGAAAAGTTCCTGTGGCACAGATTAGCTAATGACTCCTCTGTCAAACAAATTTGATTATTTTTGTCCATTGAACCACCAGGTTTTTGTGGAAAAATTCCTTCCCTTGAGAGTAGAGCCTTGGGAATTGCAGTTACTGAGATTGACCACATGCTCAAGTTCCATCAGTTTCTTACCATTTAAAGAAAAAGTGTCAGTGTATCCTTGTAAATCAGACTGAGAATGTTTTTGCACCTGAGCACATTTTCAAGATAAAAACTAGTATCTTGCTATGTTTAAATATGACTATTTAAGTAGGACTAGATGATCTCTAGAGGTCCCTTCCAACTCTGACAATTCTGTGATTCTGTGAGAAAGAACTCCTTCCTCACATATTCTTCTTGGTCTTCCTTTTTGTGCTATCCTTGCTCAAATATTTTACTAGTGTCTTCTTCATTTTTCTCCTTAAAAATATCCTGCTTCTCAAGTGCTTGGTGTTCCTTACCACATCCTTTCCTTCCCCACCTCTGGGAGGGGGCTGGAAATGCTGACAGAGCCTAATTACATAATGGGGACTGCAGCTGATGGAAGAAACATCTCATACAAACACACACAGCAGTCATAAAGCTAATGGATTATGAACTGAAGTGGCAATTGAGAAAGGGTATCTCACACTGCTCTTCCTAACGACACAGCACAGTTTGTTAATGAGAAGCTGTGACAGATGCACTCGATTGCTTAACTAAACTAGCGGTAGTTTGGTACTGGCTCCAAAGGAGGTGAAGGCCTGAGCCACTGCTGGGCCGTTCTTGGCCTGTAAAATGTTTAGGTTGGAAGGGCCCTTAAAGATCATCTAGTTCCAACCCCCCTGCCATGCAAAGAGACACACCTCCCACTAGACCAGGTTGCTCAAAGCACCCTCCAGCCTGGTCTTGAACACTGTCAGGGATGGGGCATCCACAGCTTTCCTGGGCAACCTGTTCCAGTGCCTCACCATCCTTATAATGAAAAGTTTCTAACCTCTTCCAGTTTGAGGCTACTACCCCTTTTCCTGTCACTACACAGCCTTGTAGAAACTCTGTCCCCAGCTTTCTTGTAGGCCCCCTTCAGAAACCAAAAGGCTACTCTAAGGTCTCCCCAGAGACTTCTCCCGGCTGAACAACCCCAACTCCCTCAGCCTGTCTTCATAGGAGAGGCGTCCAGCCCTCTGTTCATCTTTGTGGCTCTCCTCCGGATCCGCTCCAACAGGTCCATGTCCTTCTTGTGCCGAGGACTCCAAAGCTGGAAGCAGTACTACAAGTGATGTCTCCCCAGAGCAGATTACTGAAAACCCACAAAGGAGTAGTGACACAGTAAGCATCAATACATATGAGCTTGGGACACTGATCATGCGATTAACACATGAATAGCAGGTGGCTTTTCCAAGACTCATTTATCAAGGAACAAAGAAAGTTGTAGATACAAGGAGTCTAATGCATACCTTGCCCATTGCATGTAATTTGACTATGAGCCAACCACCTTACTCCATAAATTTGACAACCTAAGTGAGCCTTCTTTATACTCTCCCTGGTAGGCAGCAGAGCTATGATCTCCCCTTGAGCTGGAACATCTCTCAAGGTTGCTCCTTGAGGCAGAGAGACTTTTTACCAACAGTAGATCTTTAGTCAGTGACTGATAGCATGCTGTTGAAACATTAGTTATGCATGTAGCTATTAATTATTATAAACTTTGTATAGATAATTCTGTTAGACATAAACCGTTGTCCAACTCTGAGGCTAAGATTAGACATGGCCGCACCTAAGTTCCATCAGGAGTTTAGAAAGCGAAGGGGTCCACACTGAACCTCATAACTCAATGTGAAGGTCTCCCTTACCCTTCTCTGTCTCTGGTCCCTGTATGAATCATTCTAACTCAATTCTAACTCCATTTTCCTTTGTATGTTTCTTCCATGCAGCAATTAATAAGGTGAAACTTACCATAGAACTTACTGAACCTCGGTAAACCACTATTAGACTTTGTTAAATTTCATCAAATTTATTGAACTGTCAAATTATTATTTTTACCCCAATAAAACCTATTGCTTCTTTTGAGTGAGGTGCATTCTTCTCTTTCATGACAAATTGGTGCAGGCAACAGGATTCTAAATCAGGATTTGTGACAAGTTCAATAACATAAGCCAAAACTGCTATTATTCCATAGCTGTAAATTCCTGTTAAAATGACTCACTTCACTGGAGTTACTATAACGTTACAACTGTAAGAGTAACTTCCAGCAATATTACAGAATGTACAAAAATTTATGCTGACAAAGAAGCACTTCAACTTAATCTGCATGAAGTTTGTTTTGTTATTTCAGAAGGACAGGGTGTTTGAAAAAAGTCAGAAGAACTATCAATCACAGAATCATTTAGATTGGAAAAGACCTTTAAGATCTTCGAGTCCAACTGTAAACGTAACACTGCCAACACCACCACTAAACCATCTTCCTAGATGCCACACCTACACGTCTTTTAAATACCTCCAGGGATGGTGGCTCAACTACTTCTCTGGATGGAACTGTGAAAAACTCCGAGAAGGGAGAGAGAAAGATCTATGAGTTTAGAAGGAACTAAACTATTTATTGGCAGCCTGTTCCAATGATTATCAACCCTTTCAGTGAAGAAATTTTTCCTAATACCCAATCTAAACTTCCCCTGGTGCAACTTGAGGCCATTTCCTCTCATCCTACTGCTTGTAACTTGGGAAGAAACCAACATCCACCTCACTACAACCTCCTTTCAGATAATTCCAGCAAGCGAAAAGGTCTCCCCTCAGCCTCCTTATCGCCTGACTAAACAAGTCCAAACCAAACAACCCCCAACAACAGTGCAGCTACAGCAGCCTCTGGCTCTTTTGCACATAAAAGGCAGGCTAGCACGCACTACAAAAAATGCAGGCAATTTAATGTTGACAGTTTTTGGAAAAATCAATGGCAAGTTGCTTAGTTTACAGCACGACATTAAGAACAGCTCACAGCTGCCTCTATGTAACTGAACATACAGTCTCAGAACCCAGTTTACAAGGGGTACAACAGATGATTTTGGACTCCTAGAACTTAACAGCTTGGTCTCAATTCTATCTGTGGCTAGGGAGAGCTACCTGTGCTCTTTCTGGTTCCTCCCAGTGCTGCTGGTTTGAAGGGTACCTATTGATTCTGACAGAGTACTGCATGCATCAAAGCTACTTGGCTTGGCTCCACATGTTCATATAGCAACGCTTCAGATCTAATGAGTCCTAATGCAACCAGTTTCACAGACATTGTGATGCTTAAGCATTCACGCTGAGCCTAAAACCCAGACTTGGTGTGATAACTGTAGTATTATGTAGGGAGCCTAGCTCTATACTATTTTAAAACATGGAGAATTGACTGCCTATGGCAAGAAACGAAACCAGATTAGAGTAGCATGAGGTTTGTCTCATACTGCCATCTGCTGAAAAAGGCAAGCTACTTCTCTATGAAACTTTCCTGTTCATGATTCTTACTCACTGCAGGTCATAACAAGATTACATGTGATTATATTTCCTCAGCTGCATATATAAGTCTTCTACTCTTCCATACTTACAACTACATAATGCTGGAAGTGTACAGCATGTACAAATATCAAGCCACTATTCTTGAGATACTAAAATGAACTTGCAGAATCCAGGTGTCTAGGTATCAAGTAAAAAGTTTAAAGTGTTGTGCGAGGGTCTACATAATTAAAGCTTGTTAAAGATGAGTTGTATCAACTGGCACAACCTCTGTGCTGATGGAATGATCACATGCTTATTACTGCTCTTTCTGTAGAGTCTGCTTACTAAGCCAAACCAAGTATAAGATAGCATAATTAAACAGACAAATTTAAGTTAACAGTGAAATGACAATCAACCAGTGAGAGTCATTAAATATTCTTCAACACATTCTTCAAACTTTATTCATTTTGCAACAGATAAGCTGAATAAGACACTGAAGAGAAAGTTTTACTTCTTACTTACACCCTTCTCTGTTGCATGAATATCTGTATTTCCATAAAGCGTTCCAAGACCAATTACTTTGCCACCATTTGTCCGTATATCAATTTTATGGCTCTGAAAAAAAGAAATTAAAAATAATATGGTTAGGATAATTGCAATTAGAACACAAGTTATCTTGTTTTTCCAAGCTATACCACAACAACCACCTTGGATCACAAACTTCTATTTTACTGTGAAGGTTTCCTCCCAAGCAATTGCCAAATGTGCTGTTTTCCAGTGGAGTCAAGCTCCCAACAAGCCACCTTCCTTTGTAACCAGACAAACAAGGGGGGGAAAAAAATGGTGCCAAGGAAGCCTTTATTCTCAGTAGATGTGGGGGTTTTGGTTGTATTTTTTTAACTAGAAAATCATTCACTCAGAATATATTAAAATAAGCAGTGCAGGAAGAAAGAGGGAACTTTGTGTTTCATCCTGAAACCAAGGTATGCATAATAGCTAGTGCTGCAGCAGATGAGAGACATGAGCTGGCAGAGAGAAATGAACTTGCAAACTGAAGCCTTCCAGTGACCTGGAACCCAGCGTCACAGGAGTCTGCAAGACAATCACATATATATACACAAACACACCAGAATGCTACTCATGCTTGGAGCAGTATGTATAGCCTTAAACTTCTATGGATGCACACCAGGGGAAACCTTTGGCCTGCAAGTAGAACCAGATTCTACAGTGCTTCATTCCAACCAGATTCTAATTCAAATTAGGTATTTTGCATACATCTGCATTAAAATATCAGTTTTTTTCCACAAAGAAACCAGGTTTCAAGTAAAAATGCTATAGCCCTTATACCTCTCAGTTGCTGCTGCATACAACTGACAAGAGAAAAGAGATGCACAGAAATACACACAAACTACTCTCAGAAAGAAAAAAAAAAAAAAGCCCCAGGTCTCGAGAGTGTCTTACAACCATTTGTAAGAAGGGAAAGCCCCAGGTCTCAAGAGTGTCTTACAACCATTTGTAAGAAGGGAAAAGAAAAAAAAAAGAAAAAAGAAATAAAAATCAGATTTAAGTAATATAAGCTGCAATTTCAACAAATCTGACTTTACGAAGTCTATGGATGTCAACAGCAAAGCCCTTTTGCTTAAGTTCACTAGTGGGAATGCTGGAATAACACAGAATCAAAAAAAATTCATCATTTTTTATAATTTGTGCTGGAAAGGCTTACACATAACCCCCCCCTTCATTTTCCCACAGCACCACCTCCATTTTCAGATATATTTGTTTCTGTTGAAAAGAGTATTGTTCCTGTAGACGTCATTTAATTAGGACACATTAATTAAATCTGACAATCAAATATACCCAAAATAATCAAGATACTGAGATTATTAAACACCTGCCCAGATAAACCATAATAAATTGCATTAACTAGGTATAATCAGACAGCAACAGGATTAAGAACTTTTTTTAATTAAAGAAAAAATAAAAGAAATCAAGTTTCCAATACGGAAGACGTGGACTTCTACTGCTCTGACATTTCTGATGGAACACCAAGAACCAGAAGGTTCATGGGGTTTTACAAGACAGGAAGAACTCTAAAGCAGTGTTTCTTAATCTGTGTTCTTGAGTCTTGCTTTCTCTTCTTCATTTAAGAGGTTTCCCCACAGTAAAACGCAATGCTCTTAACTTGTGACTACAGTAAGCGCTTCCGACCTTTTAAAAGTTGTAAATAACTCAGCTGTTCAGTTAAGCTTCTATATAAATATGATAAATTATTCCCTCCCTATACAGTAACCAGGATAAAGTTAAATTAGATGCTTCAGCCAGACATCACAGTTCCTTTAAGGCAGTTACATTAGGCATATAATCAGAATAATAGTTAAAGAACAAATCCTCCAAGCATGTAACTTGAGGAAAACAGGGGAAGTCATAAGATTTGAAGAATTCGTGTATAGCAATAACTCTCAGTGGCTATACTGGCAAGTCAAGTAAAATAAAACCATGACATACACCTTTATTTCTTTGATTTTTTGTTTTAATTTTTTTTTTTTAATCTCTGTAATTTTAGGGATAGAAAAAGCTTTAATAAGACACAGGTTCCTCAACCTTTTTACTCTTTAAAAAAATAAAATATGAACAAACTTTCAAAGCTAGGTATCAATAGAGACACCCAACAGATAGCAGGATTTGCTGAGAGGACACAAGTTATAATTGCCAAGTAGCTTTTTCATTAAGAGGGAACATTCCACCAGCTGAAAATAAGAAGCACTATATTATAGGGCTTCTCCTAGCAAGGGAGAAAGGTTTGAGTAAGGAAGAGGTAAGAGGCTGTCAAGACCATAGCAGATGACAAAAGAAAACCAGAAAAGTATGTTCAGTTCAAAGAACGTAAGGACAGTGGTGCAGGACAACAAATTGGGCTCTTTATTCTCAGTAGATGTGGGGGTTTTGGTTGTATTTTTTTAACTAGAAAATCATTCACTCAGAATATATTAAAATAAGCAGTGCAGGAAGAAAGAGGGAACTTTGTGTTTCATCCTGAAACCAAGGTATGCATAATAGCTAGTGCTGCAGCAGATGAGAGACATGAGCTGGCAGAGAGAAATGAACTTGCAAACTGAAGCCTTCCAGTGACCTGGAACCCAGCGTCACAGGAGTCTGCAAGACAATCACATATATATACACAAACACACCAGAATGCTACTCATGCTTGGAGCAGTATGTATAGCCTTAAACTTCTATGGATGCACACCAGGGGAAACCTTTGGCCTGCAAGTAGAACCAGATTCTACAGTGCTTCATTCCAACCAGATTCTAATTCAAATTAGGTATTTTGCATACATCTGCATTAAAATATCAGTTTTTTTCCACAAAGAAACCAGGTTTCAAGTAAAAATGCTATAGCCCTTATACCTCTCAGTTGCTGCTGCATACAACTGACAAGAGAAAAGAGATGCACAGAAATACACACAAACTACTCTCAGAAAGACAAAAAAAAAGCCCCAGGTCTCAAGAGTGTCTTACAACCATTTGTAAGAAGGGAAAAGAAAAAAAAAAGAAAAAAGAAATAAAAATCAGATTTAAGTAATATAAGCTGCAATTTCAACAAATCTGACTTTACGAAGTCTACTCATAAGCTGTAATTTCAACAAATCTGACTTTACGAAGTCTAGAAAAGAAAAAAAAAAGAAAAAAGAAATAAAAATCAGATTTAAGTAATATAACTCATAAGCTGTAATTTCAACAAATCTGACTTTACGGTAAGTATGGATGTCAACAGCAAAGCCCTTTTGCTTAAGTTCACTAGTGGGAATGCTGGAATAACACAGAATCAAAAAAAATTCATCATTTTTTATAATTTGTGCTGGAAAGGCTTACACATAACCCCCCCCTTCATTTTCCCACAGCACCACCTCCATTTTCAGATATATTTGTTTCTGTTGAAAAGAGTATTGTTCCTGTAGACGTCATTTAATTAGGACACATTAATTAAATCTGACAATCAAATATACCCAAAATAATCAAGATACTGAGATTATTAAACACCTGCCCAGATAAACCATAATAAATTGCATTAACTAGGTATAATCAGACAGCAACAGGATTAAGAACTTTTTTTAATTAAAGAAAAAATAAAAGAAATCAAGTTTCCAATACGGAAGACGTGGACTTCTACTGCTCTGACATTTCTGATGGAACACCAAGAACCAGAAGGTTCATGGGGTTTTACAAGACAGGAAGAACTCTAAAGCAGTGTTTCTTAATCTGTGTTCTTGAGTCTTGCTTTCTCTTCTTCATTTAAGAGGTTTCCCCACAGTAAAACGCAATGCTCTTAACTTGTGACTACAGTAAGCGCTTCCGACCTTTTAAAAGTTGTAAATAACTCAGCTGTTCAGTTAAGCTTCTATATAAATATGATAAATTATTCCCTCCCTATACAGTAACCAGGATAAAGTTAAATTAGATGCTTCAGCCAGACATCACAGTTCCTTTAAGGCAGTTACATTAGGCATATAATCAGAATAATAGTTAAAGAACAAATCCTCCAAGCATGTAACTTGAGGAAAACAGGGGAAGTCATAAGATTTGAAGAATTCGTGTATAGCAATAACTCTCAGTGGCTATACTGGCAAGTCAAGTAAAATAAAACCATGACATACACCTTTATTTCTTTGATTTTTTGTTTTAATTTTTTTTTTTTAATCTCTGTAATTTTAGGGATAGAAAAAGCTTTAATAAGACACAGGTTCCTCAACCTTTTTACTCTTTAAAAAAATAAAATATGAACAAACTTTCAAAGCTAGGTATCAATAGAGACACCCAACAGATAGCAGGATTTGCTGAGAGGACACAAGTTATAATTGCCAAGTAGCTTTTTCATTAAGAGGGAACATTCCACCAGCTGAAAATAAGAAGCACTATATTATAGGGCTTCTCCTAGCAAGGGAGAAAGGTTTGAGTAAGGAAGAGGTAAGAGGCTGTCAAGACCATAGCAGATGACAAAAGAAAACCAGAAAAGTATGTTCAGTTCAAAGAACGTAAGGACAGTGGTGCAGGACAACAAATTGGGCTCAGACGCGGCGTGTGGTGAGAAAGCACGGCAGGTCCTCCACTGATTGTGTGTGAGACACCTGGACATTCTTGTTATCACTGGCACAGCCAAAGAATCAGAAGGAATAGAACATTGAAACAAAATTAAAGGCCTTCCTTGGTCCCATTGTCACTTCTAAGCTGACAGACTGTAATATGAAGCAGAAGGAAAAAATTAAAAGGAGGAGCACTGTTTACTCAATAAAGAATTTGGGAATAATTTACACTCTGAAGAGGACCTAGAAGTCATAAATGTATTTTGGAATTACTGTTACTATCAGTCGACTTGGAAGGGATAGGGCAAACAGAGTTGTAGCTAATTACAAAACAACACCACCAGAAATCAATCTCAATAAAATCCCTCAACAAGCCTCACTGCCTGGATAATGTCTGCCACACTAAAAGCACTAGTGAAAATCCATTTAAAAACCTCATACAGAATGCTCATCTTTTCTGTTGAATTACTAGCATGCACGGTTAAGGGAAGTAGACGTCAGATTGCAAGGCCTTCTGTAAAAGCACCATACAGTATACCATAAATCAGCAAGTTTTTTTGATTTTTAAGTCATACAAACAACTTCTTGAAGGGTGTGGCAACTAAAGAGAATTAGTGGTTGTGAAGTTGTTTGCTGGTGCTCTTGAATAATCCCCACATGACTGGATTTAAAAAAAAAAGTAAGTCATTGATCAACGATCTTTTGCTCTCTACTGTAAAGAAAGGGTCTCCTGCTTTTCTAGCGAGTGAGGTTTATGGAGAGCATGACAGCTCTTTAATCCATCCAGGGGAGGGCAGTATCACTTCAGTTTGCTCAGTAAAGCACATTAGCTAAAGGGGAATCGGCTCTTACACTGCACTGCAGAATCCCTCAGTAGCTTTGAAAAAAAACCCAAAACGTTAATAATTCTGCTTCTCTGCTAATTCCTGAGAGTATAATTCCTGTACCTATATTAGAAAAATAGAGTTACAGTTGTAATTACTAGAACTACAGTGCTTCTTAAAAACAACAACATTAGACTAAAAACTGACTGTACAGCTAAGAGACCTTGTAATTGATTACTTATTTGCTCTTGCAAACACCTACATGGTCAGAAATTTTAATTCAAAATCTTCACCTCGCTACTTCAGAGTCAATAAAACCAGAAGTGGTAACATATCTTCCCTAGTACTGTATGTTGAAGGCACCACAGTGACCAGAACAAAGTCAACCGATCACCACCCACAACCCAAAAAAATACTTCAAGTAACTATTTTGGTTAAAAAAGCCAAAGCCTTATAATCTACCAAAGCTTCGTTTTAACAGAGTTTCACTTAAAATCTGCAGTTCTTTCTTGATACTTTAAATACTTTTAATTGTAAAAGCCCTTTGGGACAAGGCCATTCCTCTCATTTGAGGCTTAAGGGAGCAAAGAAACTTCCTGTGACCCCAACATGGTGGGCACATTGAGGTGCATGCACAGAGGAAAGATCATCTTTTATACCTGTAGTTTCCCTGACATTTTTGTGAATTAAGCAAGGCTCAAAGTTGACCGAGACAAAAAGCAACACCAAGCTCCTCTGAACTATAATGAGGCCATGGAGGACTTGGTCTCAGAAGCCCCAAACTGGTGACTTTGCAACATCCTTTTCAGTTCATTAGAGAGTATTGTTTCATTGCTACTTGAAGTCTCAAGGAAAAAATTAAAACATCAGTTTTATTTAAAATTCAACATTATTCACATCTTAGATTGTATATGAGAAAATATGACAATGAAATTAGTTATCTTTCCTCAAAATCCCTTTTCCATAACATCGCAAAAAATTCTTGACAATTATGATGGCATGTTGTGATTACTGTCACTATTGCTGGCCAAAACTACCTTGCTTTCTCATATTAGGTAGTTTCTCATGTACTTCTGTTTCTGTTACTATTGTATAACAGAGTCATTTCTAACCAAAGCTTTAGATGGCAATAACACATGTAGTACTGTTAACTATTTGTAAGAGTATTTTTTAGAGTATTAGACTATTTTTTAGAGTAATATGGTCAATTACACAGAGGTACTGTTAACTATTTGTAAGACGTTAGTTACTTTTTTTAGAGTAATATGGTCAATTACACAGAATCTGGAAGATACAAGCTGTCTGTAGTTCACTGAATATGGAGTACACCTAGATCTATTGTATATTAAATTTGCCCTTAAGTTCAGTTTCCCATATGTGTGCTATGAAATCACCTCTTACCATGGTAGATCTAAAAAATTTTTCAAAGTTTTTATCTCAAAAATACTTAAAGTTTGGAATTACCCTATTTGAAAAGGCCTTCTTTTGTATTTGTACCCATTCTTGCAGGTACAATCCCAATTATTCAAGTGAATTTGATTCCAAACAGCACCTAATTCAGATATACTTTGATTATTTCTACAAAGGCCTATGTCAGCAAAACCAAAAATCTTAAGAGTGAACAAACAAGGTCATGACCATGATAGATACATTTATCACATATTTCAGTCAGACATTTTGGACATGTAATGTGTAATTTCTGATTGAAAATTAACCTCAAGAGTTTGTCAGTAGCACTGAAATATCAGAATTATTTTTAAAAAAAACCCAACAAACAGGTAAAAAAAAGCAGCATATTGCAAAGTCCCAACTGAGCAAGCATAACTATTAACCTGCTAGATAGGAAACCCCAGTCTATTTTTTTTTTTTCAGGGGTGGGGATGACAGATTCAGGGTTTCCGCCATCACTGTTTCAGTTGGATTTGGCTATCAAAGGTACTTGGACTTCTGACTCCACGTTAGTTAGTGTTATTGACTTTGTGTCATAATTGTATGCAATAAATAAAGGTGAGGTGCTACACACATAGTAACACTTCGAAATATCAGAGTGCTTCCCATCTCCAGATCTGGTATTTATATGATACTCCACCACACAATCCCGTTTAAAACACTGATGGGCTGGGGGAGTGTTTGTTGTACCTTTATTGACTGCAAGACACTAGTCCCCTTCTCTGTTTCTATTTTGCAGTTATCACATTCTATTTTCTGAATCTTCACGCAGCCAGTCCCTGATGTTTTGATATCCAAATCTAGAAGAAAAAGAGTTTTATTAGCAACAGAGTAAGAAGAATCAGATCTTAACATACTACTTAATCATTTTATGTAGTAACTACATATAGTAGGGAAAAAAAGCAGCTGTTTTGTTACCGAAGAACCTTCTTGCAAAGTTTGGCCACATATTTTCAATTGCATGGCTAGTCACTAGCAACAATTGACACTGAAAATTTTGTAAGCCTGTGCATGACCATCCCGCTTTGTGAGAACATTAAGAGGCAGCAGAATGACTGTACCCTCTGGCAAGAAATCAGCAGGGTGTGGTCCTTTAGTGAAGGGGGTTTTTTTATTGGGTTTTTTTTTTTTTGTTTGGTTCCCTTTTTTTAACCCCCTCCCAAACTCCACCTCCATCTCATAGCTACTCTAGTCACCAATTCTATAAGAAATTCTAATGAGACATGTAGAGAGGGAAGGTTGGCAGGTTGTTTGAGGCCACGCATAGAGTAATAAGATTCAACAGCACAAACATATAGGTCTTGCTTAGCCCTACACTTCTTCAACTAGCATAACAAAAACAGGTATAGGAGTTTGCATGCGTCATTCTTCCCTAGCCTTCTGGAGGCCCTGACTTACCCCTCTGGCATGAAGAAGCATGTTCTAGCCTGAATCACCCCATCTGTTCATAAGGCTCCCACAAAGAAAAGTCACTAGGTCTTGTAGACAACTCATATCAAGGGAGTAATTTCTGGACTTACAGTCCTTCACACAGGACCAGCAAAAGTATTTTTCTGCAGCTTGAGCTCACCCTTGAGTTTAAGGAACTGGAAAGAAGTTTGTGCAGTCTGGAGATTCTGACTGTATTAATACTCACTTACATTCATGGCTACCATAACGACTGGCAAAAAGCAAATGCAGGAGAGGAAAAAAAGTGGTTTTGTTCCTAAAGGCAGAAAGAAGAAAAAAAAATTTGAACAGGAGTCAGAAGCATTTGCTGCAGGACACATAACTGAGGGGCTAAGAGAAAGATAGTGAGCCTATTGCTCTCTAAAGAAAAGGAGGTTATCTGGGAAAGAAGCCTTCATTTAAGCATCTGTGGAAAAAAAAATTAAAAAAATAATCTTTCTTTCACCTCCACTACCTACTAAGGTGACCAGAAATACATGCAGAAGAATCAAAGTACATATACTGAGCTCTGCCCCAATGAGATTCCCCAAGTTGGACCCACAACACAGCAGAGGCTGAAGTTCAGTACTGTCATGCTGCTGCTCGGGACAGATGCTGGAACCATGACAACAGCAGCTTGCAGACCATGAAGACGAGAGACTGAGAGCTCCACTTAACAATAACAAGAAGTTTTGCCACCTGACAAATCTGAAGAATCCAAAAGGTAGAGCTAAAACACGCTAGGTCTTTGCTGCAAGAGTGCTGAGAGACTGAGAGCTCCACTTAATAACAAGAAGTTTTGCCACCTGACAAATCTGAAGAATCCAAAAGGTAGAGCTAAAACACGCTAGGTCTTTGCTGCAAGAGTGCTACAGCTCTGCTACAGTAAACTAAGAGGTAAAATTTAGTGAATGATGCAGATTGTGTTCACAGGTAACAATTCTCTAAGAAACAGGGCTAGAAGAGGTAGACTGGATAAATAGGTTTTCCAGAAAGCTGTTTTACTTGCTTATACTATTTTCTTAGCTTCTTCACAGAAGACTTCCAAGAATGGGATGCTGTGACCAAGATTTTAATCAAACTGTACATTTCTTAAGTAAACTCTAAGATAGGCTTTGAGGCCTATGTAAAAGCACAAAACCTACTATCAGAGGCTTGAGGGCCTCACAAGGTTTTACATTCATAAAGCTTGGACAGTTTCACCAGATCAAAAAGTATCAGAGCTATTTCAGTTTGATTGATGCTGATCTACAGGCTCTGAAGATGAGACCAAAGTTTTCCATGAAGTTTTACTTCTCAGGGAGCAGTTGGATTGTTTAAACACAGTGGCACTCTCCAAACATCTATGTTTCAGACAGTGTGTCCCTGAGCAGCACAAACCTGAAGAGTTTAAAAAGAAAACAATATTATTTTTGAAATACAAACTGTGTTGCTCAAAACTGCTCAATTCACCCACTGGAAAACTGCAGTGTCCTTGGGAGGATATACATCCAAGCCTTTTGCTATTTTGTTTTCTGAGGAGAAAGAGGTCCAAAAGCCAGTTTGCTTGTGCAAATCTTTGAAGTCAATCAGCTTGACATCCTGCTGCCCTTATTGCTTCTGTCAAAAGGGGTGACAAAAGGGGAAAAGGCTTAAAAGCAGTAAGTTTAGCCATGGTATCAACTTAATAAGACTTTTATAAGAATAAGGTTAATAAAAACTTCTGATCCCGCAGGTCATATTATGACCATCATTTGAAAGGTAGATCAGTAGTGTAAACCCAGCTGTAACAGAAATGGGAGCCAAAGGAGGACACAGAAGTCTGGGGATTCTTGAGCGTGCTGTTAAGAAACATCAGGGATTCTACAAACATACTTTGTGCTTTGATCCTCTGCAGAGTCACAGCTCTTTGCTAGCCTTGATATAGCAAAAATGAGCAGACAAGGAATGGAGCCTCTCCACAAAGAAGCAGCCTAAAAGCTGGATGATATTGCTAATGGAATTTCAACAAGCAAGGAGAAATAGGATACAATTTGTTTCAGTGCCAAAGCTCCAAAAATAGTGAGTTTGATTCCTTCTTAGCACAGATGAGGGCTGAAGCCAACTTCAGCCACACAGACCTCAAAGAACGCATGAAGATCTTTGGGGTGCAAAGGACTTGTATTGGAAATAAAGGTACACAGAGTAAAAAAAAGAAAAAGAAAAGAACTTTGGTATCAGAATATAGGCAGCAGTACCCCAAGAAAAGCCACCTTAAGTTACAATATTTTAAAGAGACCAGAAAAATGACATTTTCAAGTGACTCAGCAGCTCTGGACTACTAGAAGTACTTCAGCATGATCCACTTCTCCGCTCACAGCAGAAGCTTACTAGTAAGTTAGCATGCATGCAAGGTAATTCAGTCTAGGAAAAACTATTTGTTGAGGGCATCAGATTACAGTATTTGCTACTCTGAGGCTTTAAGTCTGCCATACTTAAGAGTAAACACTGACAATCTTTTTTCCAACTCATTAGTATGTTAAGACTTGAGAAAAATACACTGTTGTAAACATTGATGTTTGCTTTCCACTAACTTTTACAAAAAATAAAAGCCCAAAACAAACAGTCCCAGAAGCTTAGCTTCTCCCGTCATAGAAGTGGACAGAAAAATTGTTTAAGTGATGCCATAAAATTATGATTTTGGTAATTCACAGAAACATTCAAGACCCATACATTCATTCAGTTTGCTTAGGTAGTTCCATGAGAATCTACAGTATTTGGCCAAAAACATAAGCAATTACATGGTCTTAAATAAGACTAATGTGGAAGAGTTAAGTTTTCCCAAGGACAGAACTAAACAAACAAAAATTCATACCTCCATACTGGCTTACAAGTGGGCCTAGACCAGCAGTGCTTGTTCGTGTGCCAGAGGTGACAGAGCTTTGGTATTCTACTCTGTGAAGCTTGGCCACTACTTCAACACTCATGGTTCTCCTCCCTGACTTTGGCATAGAAGTTTCTGTTCTCTTCACCAGGGTATAACATGGAAAAAGCATTGGAACAGTTTGCCAAAGATGGTTGTGTAGTCTTCATTCTTGGACATTTTCAAAACCAGGCTGGATAAACCCCTGAGCAGCCTCCTTTGACCTTAGTGTTGACTCTGCTTTGAGCAGATCAAACTAGAAACCTCCCAAGGTCCCCTCTGTGCTACTTTTGACCAAATATAGCATGTACTTACTAAATCAAAACATAAGAACCACATGGTAAGACAGGACAGATGATTCTCAGATTCTAGCTATGCAAGACCTCAGTTGGGTTTACTTCTGAGCACTCAGTCAATGTACAGTAACCACAAATCAAAGAGGTGGTTTCAGGTTTAAGTAGCATAGGCAGTTCCACATGCCAAGATAAAGGGCTCTCTATATGCTGAGCAGACTCCAAACCTACAGCTATGTGCCTACACTGTCCCTGAAATAAATGGCTAACATATATTTATTTTCCTTCAGGTCACATGTAAACCAGATTAAAGAGAAGTTCATTGTCATCAACCATCTATGAAGGTTAAACATATCGGAGAGTATTATCAGCTTGTGTATGATACTGGAAGCCTGTATGCACAGCATAAAACAAGACACTAAGACATAAATAGAGGATCCTTTAGTAATTGCCCCAATAGGCCGCTTACTAGTTGCCTTTGGTTTAAAATACATACTTAAGTTCATCATCTCAGACCCTGACAAGGATGTGCAGAAGATGCTAGGAGTTTTAGCTAACTTCCTGGATAAGCTCCAACCTAAATTGCAAAAGACTATTATGAAATGCTGCAACTTCCAAAACCAAGAAAGAAGCTAGAATACTGTAGCAACATTCATATGAACTTCTCAACTTTTACAGCAAAGTGACAGAAAGAGCTCAGATAAAATGGTCTGAACAGAGTTAACATCCTTCTCACGCATCCAAGGAAGGCCAGAGAAAAGCCAAAGCGTGTGCAGAGCAACAACAGTTTCTTTGTAGTTTGAGATATGTTTTTACATGGGATAAGATCTTTTGCTTATGCAATGATGTTTAATGGGTAATTCTTTCCTAAATAAGGAAAAGCAACAACACAAGTACTACCACTCAGAGCCCAAAAACCAAACCAGAGCTGAAAGGACACTTAGAGTAGAACCTCACTGGCAAGTAGCAATTCTACTTCTCAGAGTACAAAACATATTTATGTTTTAGGAAATATCTCTGGATATGCCTGAATAACAACATGAACAGACAATACTAACATCATGCTACTTATGGGGTGACAAACAGCAACTAGTGGAAGGGCACTATAATCCACACACTGTCCAGGGAACCTGAATCACATGAGCTTACCACAAACCTAAATGGAACAGCTTAAAACTTATTTCAATAGGGAAGACTGTAAGACAGTTTGCAGGGTTGGTTGACATTCAGAATCTCAGAAACAGGACAAAAATAGGACAAGAGCTAAATAATTCCCCCCCCTCCCCCATCAATCAGGATTCATCATTAAGAACTTTAGGAAGGTTCCCCACATTGAAAGTCTTTATGAAGGCTGAGATTCTCCAGATCTTAATACAATGAATTCTGAATGTAACACATGACAGTCACTCAGAGATCCTGGGGAAACTTAAATATTAAATCACTAACAGCTACAATAACCAGACACACTTGGTACCAGAGAAATGATGGGTAACAAAAGGGATGCTGGGTTTCAGTTTGATTGGCTGTCATCCTAGAATGGACTCTGTGAATGTACTACACACAAGCCAAGGTAATCTTTGCACTTGTGAAGCAGTGAAAAAAAAAAGTGGTAAGAATATAAATGATAATTCTTAGAGAAGACATAAGTGACAACAGTCTCTTGAATAAGACAGTCCCACTACAGTTCAGCAGAAGAGTCAGTGAATATCTAGGTAACAGTTGATCTATTTAAGAGAATTAACTTGGATTTTCAGATGTCTTTGACAATATCCTTAGTCCTATATTGTCTTTTAGCTATAGGCTATGCATCTTCAATACTACATGAATTCGTAAATCAGCACAAATACCAAGGTTGAAAAGTTTCATCAACGACACTGAATTATTCAGACTAGTTAAAAACTCCCTAAGAAATTGCAGAAAGATCTTTGAATACTACATACTCAAAAGATAAAATAGCAAGAAACTGAATGGATGGTATTCCTTCTGTGATTCTTTGCCAAGAGGCATGGAGTTTGCCAGGAAGCTCTCACACTGAAACTGTTTACATGTGTAAGTGGACTCCTGGAAGTGAGACCAGAGGGGCTGATCTGTACCAGGCTCAGAAAATCCCCTCAGCTGTAAACAGTTGACAGCTAAGAGAACACTTAGATGAAATATCATTTATATTTGTCCCGTTCTTACTCTTCCCAGAGCTTCTGTTTATAACTTCTGCTGGAAACAGGACAGTGAGCTAGCTGGACTCATGGTACAAATCAGTACAGCCATGCCAACATAGGCAAAGTAAAGCACAGTGAGGGCAGAGAGGGGGAGAAGCCTCTGATTTTATTTACAGAATGTTTGTCTCCATATTAGTTCGTAAACAGATCTTAAGTTTTGGAAAACATACCCAAGAAACATGTCAACAATGTTCAAAAAAACTGAAGTGGAAAATTATAGGGATGAGTAAGGCTAGAATACGAGAGAGAATGCTGCTATGATAAATCCATAGCACCTCTCCATTTTGAATTATATACAGTTCAGGTCCTTCTAAATGAAAACATGAAAGAAAGAAAAAAACTAAACAAAACCAAAAAACAACATAACAGAATTCAAGATACAGGGGATAAAAAGGTGTAAAAGAAGATAAAATGTGCAGAATGTGTTTGCTGCAAGGGTTTGGGAAAGTGATAGATGACATGTATGCAGCATAAGCAGAATGGGATTATTCACAATTTCTCATACAACAACCACAGCAGAGCATCAAATGAGATAAAAGCAGCAGTCTTGAACAACTACTTGCAGCAAACCAAAGGACTGAGGTTTTTGTACACTGAGAAGTTTTTTCAGCATGGTGAAACTTCTTCCGCACTGTACAGACAATTGCGCAATTCCATATGAAATAATCCATATCAATGGCTAAACACAAATCTTCCTGGGTCAAGTACTCGCGAAATCTCAGCTCACTGAGGGGAATTATCCTAGTGAGCTTGCCCTTTTCCTTCCCTAAACTTAGAGCTACTGTATTTCAGTCCAGCACAGATGTTTATTGGTTTCAGCCACTACAGCTGCTCTCTCAAGTTGTTTGTAGGTTCCATACCAGAAACCCCGCACAGATTTTTGCCCTGTGAACCAAAAGATAATGCAAGACTTGTACTAGAGGAGGGAGCCCTTCCTGGCACTTCATCTGTATTGTTACCTTCCAGACTTTTTTTGATCCCTGTGGCCATCCACTCAGCACAACAACCACTACTGGTAGGTCCAACAACCCTGCTGGGGACAACCCTTGAACCGCAGGTGCGCACAGCACATGCTGGGGGCTGCTGTCTCCCAGCTGAGCTGTAGCCGTGTCTTTTCTGGAAGTCCAGCTGTCAGAGCAACAATAAAAGCGTGGGTTGTAACTAGCGCTCAATAGCACAAGTTTCAGCTACGTCTGACAGAAAGGTCAGCGGCAAGCGAGGGATCTAAACACCTAAGGGGTCAGGAAACACGGGGAAGAATGGGAGGCTTTGAACCTCCTTAATTAGCGGTGGCACGATGCCATTTCCCGGTATCCGCTGCCAACAGCGCTTCCAGCCGCGGCGTGCCCGGTGAGCCACAGCGGAGGGAGCGACCCCGCCGGGCCCCCGCCCTCCGCTTCACCCACCGAACTTCACGGGCGTCCTGACGTCCACGGCGGCCTTGCTGTCCACATCCTCCGCCTCGATGGCCATCTGCTCCAGCGCCTCGTCGTACTCCACCCGGACGCGGTCCCGCTGCCTCCCGCGGGGCGGGGGGCTGCCACCGGCGCCGCTGACGGCCACCAGCACTCGGTCGGCGCCTGGGTAGCGCTCCGGGTCCAGCGGGCGGACGCTCACCTGGCAGGGCAGCCGCACCCGCAGCCGCCCCCGCGGGCTGACCGCCAGCGCCCACTCCTGAAGGGGCTTACGGCCGCCGGCCTCGGCCGACCCGCTGCAGCCGCGACGGGGAGCGGGCGGCCCCCACCACCCGCCCGCCGCCCGCGCCGCCAGAGACCCCCAGCGCGGGGTCAGCGCCCTCATGCTGCCCGGCCGGAAAAGCCCCCTGAGGCGAGGCAAGGCGGGACGGGAGCCGCTCCTCACAGCGAGCGGCCGTTAGCCCCGCCGGGTCACGTGAGGCGGCTGCAAGACGGGGAGCGGCACCGGGGCGGCTGGTAAACAGGCGGCGGCCGCTGGCGCGCGCCCCGGCGCCAAGGAAGCTCCTGGGAGCGGTAGTTCGCCGGCACGCGGAAGGAACTACAACCGCCCGGCCTATCAGCGAAAGGGGAAGACGGAGCGTTTCCGTGCTCTGGTCCTATTGGGCAGTGGGGCAGTTTGCTAGAGCCAATCAGAAGCGTAGATGAGGGTCAGGAGCAGTTGAGGAAGGCCAACGGGAGCGAGCCGGCGTCACCATAGCAACGCGGACGCGGCCGGTGAGGAGGGGCGGCGGCGGCCGCACAGGTAGGGCCCTGCGGCGGGACCGTGCCGGGGGAGGCCGCCGGGGTTGGGGGATGCAAAACTGCGGCTCCAACGTCGGGGCGGAAAGCGAGTCCAGCGGCGCTGGGCCTGGGAGACGCCCCAGTCCAGTTTGAGGATCCCGGGAGGGACGGGACCCACCTTCCCCACAAGTGGGTCCAGAGGAGGGCCACAAAGATGGCCCTCCACTCCTGTGAAGAGAGGCTGAGAGAGCTGGGGTTGTTCAGCCTGGAGAAGAGAAGGCTCCAGGGAGACCCTATAGCACCGGACAGGACAGACAGGACAAGGGGTAATGGCTTCAGAGTGGAAGAGGGTAGATTAAGGTCAGATATTAGAATGAAATGCTTTACTGTGAGGGTGGTGAGACACAGAGGGACTTTTTATCAGGACATGTAGGGACAGGACAAGGGGTAATGGCTTCAGAGTGGAAGAGGGTAGATTAAGGTCAGATATTAGAATGAAATGCTTTACTGTGAGGGTGGTGAGACACTGGAACAGGTTGCCCAGAGAAGCTGTGGCTGCCCCATCCCCTGAAGTGTTCAAGGCCAGGCCATATGGCGCTTTGAGCAACCTGCTCTAGTGGGAGGTGTCCCTGCCCATGGCAGGGGGTTGGAACTGGATGATCTTTAAGGTCCCTTCCAACTCTAACCGTTCTATGAGTCCTCGTCAGCATCCCTCTGTGCCAGGAGCCTTCCCCCCATGCCAACTAGCAGGTGAGAAAATGAGGCACCTCAGGGTGTGAGGACCCTTTCCATGGTCCCAGTGGGCTGCTCCTGGTGCAGCCAAGCGTTAGTTTCCGGCAGTGCTGGTTGGGTTTCAGCCTGCTCAACTCCCTGATGCAGCAGACTCTGCAGCCACAGGATTTGACACCTGCAAGGATGAGGCAGGAAAAAAGAGGAATGGGAAGAGGGAAATGGGAGGGCTTTGGGTAGCAGCCTGGTCTTTGTTATGCTTAAGCCTACAGTGAGACTGTGTGTGTTGAAATGTTCTTGGTCAGAGGATAAAGAAGCAGTTTGGCAGATGTGCTGGAAAAAGTTTTTTCAAAAGTGGTATTGCGGAGCTGCAAAATTGGTCTCTGTCAAGACAGCTTGGTTAAAGTGTTATTTATTGTGACAGCTTTTTAGCAGTTAATATACAGCCTAGCAGTTCTAAAGCCAGGCAAAGAAATATTTTCCTGAGCTCTGTACAAATATGTCATGAGACAATTGTCCTTATAAAGTTTACAAACAAGTGGGGGACTGCTGAATTCAGTTACAAAGACTTTTATGGACTTCATAACCCATATTATCATTGTATAATAATTTTTAAAATGAGGCAGGGGATGTGGGCATAAATGAGGTAAAGTCAGGGGCTGCATTCTTGTCACAGATATAATTTACTGCCAATAATAAGAGTGAAAGATGCGTAGAAAGGTGCATTGTCTTAGCGAAATTGCAACACAAGTAATAATGAAATCTGGGGCTGTTACTTCATTGATTTGCTGCCTTTTGCATTCCATTTGTTGTTTTTCTTCTTTTCCAAAAATAACTGTGCAAGCCATGCAATATGATATTTGGTCATGGAGTTGTTTTCATCTAATTAGCTTCATTTCCATTTTTATTGCTGTCTGGCATGGATTATTTGTGAATCTGAAATGAGATCTGAGTGTCCAAGAGGAAAGAAAATGGCTCTAGCTTTTTGGTCCATCTGTAATTTTTACTGTGGGAAGTTAAATAATAAATTTTATTAATCAGTAAAGCCCTTTAAATTAAATTATTTCATTGGGTTACATTATTCAGTCTCAAAAATCATTACATGAAAACTAAAAGGGCCAACCTGCCATATTTTAGTTTAGTACAGAAAAATAGAGTTCTAGAAAGACAGAAGTGTATCAAGAAGCATCTTGGGACATGATGGGGGATAGAAGTTATTTTTTTCAAGACTTCAGAAATAGTTGGTTTTTTGGAAAAAATACTACAAAATTCTCACTCTTGAGACCAAATGCCGAATTTAAGTGTTAGGTAATTTGTCAGGGAAATGGTTACAGACCTGTAAGAAGCGTGGTGCAATGTGCTGTAATTCCACTAGATGACAGCCAATTCAACAAATAACTCTATTCACCGACTGTTCAGAGGGAATCCCCGATCTTTGGTTGGGTGGGGCCTCCCGCTGCCACCCACTTCTCCTGAACTCAGTGCTGCTGTTTCTTGTCCTCCTACCTTATGTCTCCTTAAGTCTCTTATGTCTCCTGCCTCCTCTTAAACATCAGTGCTGCTTTCCCACTGCCCTCTTTTTCTCTGGTATCTTCATGTTTTATGCTCCTCATGTAGGCAGAGGTTTATCAGGTTGGGTCTGTACTATGCTATGCATCATCTTTAATATTGTCATTTTGTCTAATTGAGAACTTTGTTCAAGAAACCACTCAAAGATGCTTAAGCCTTAAGTATATATTTCACTGTTTTGTCTTGGTTTTGTTTTTTTTTTCATTAAGTACTGTCTAAGCATACTTATATGGTTAAAAATATTGAAGAAAACACATAAAATGTAATTGCTAGGAGGAAGATCTTCTTCCTCCATACATACAAAACCTCATGTTTTTAATGTTTTACTTATACCATCTATATTTTGGCTGTAATATAAATATTGATTCCATTTTGTTTTCATGCTCGATTGAATTCCAGCTGATCCCATATCAGCTGGTATGGCATGTGGCAGAGTCCAACAGTAAAATGAGATTTATTTTCATCTTTAATTTTCTGACTAGTCACTTGCAGGAAAAGAAAACTATATAAAATTTATAAATGAAGATTTAATTAGAGTTCCAATTTCAAGATGCCTGTGTGATTCCTTAATGAATTACAATGCTTATTAGCCATTTTACCGGATACTTATGGTGTTGTTCTAAGCTAAAGAATGTCCTGTATTTCATGCAAAAGAGAACAAAAACTAGACCTTATAAAGTGTTATGAAATAGATTTTAAAGCCAAAGCATTATTAGAGGCACTTTTAGGCTAAGGTAAGTGAGAGAGATTTCAAGGGAAGAGGAATTAAGTAAAAAAGGACATACAGGATAGGCTGTAGAAGGAATACATTTTTCTAACTTTTGTATTTGGAGTTAATCACAGAGTAAGAACAGACAGCTTCAGGTACCACAGGATATGCCTGGGCAGATAGATGCATGTGCTCTAATTGTAATGAAGAATTGCTCTAATTGTAATGCCACCCTGCAGGAGTGTTCTTACTGGTGTCATGCTCACGCTGAAGCTCCTACCTGCAGATGCTAGAGGATTTCAAGTTAACATCCAGCATTTAGGCAAGGTTCCCTGCACACAAGGCTAACTACTACTTACCAATGTTCCTCCATATCATAAGACTTAAGAATTTTGTAGTCAGGATATTTTTTCCAAGTTTCTTAAAAGTTCTCCTGTGTTTCTATTATGAAATATTTGTATTTTAGTTTCTTTATTTGTGTTTTGTAATTTGCATTTGTAATTCTTTCAGTGATTTATTTCTGAACTGCTTCCTTGAGCCTTCTTAGTTCTCAAGGCATGTCTAGGTTTCAGTGGGTAGGCAAAGCATGTTTTGTTTGTTTTCCCCTTGGTGTTTTAGTGTGTGTGTAGTGATGGTAACCGTTTCTTCTCAGGGATGGCAGAGAGAGGCAGTGTCCAAATCACACAATGGTTTGGATTTCAGGGATTTTTTGTTTGTCACGCTACCAGAAATTTTCTGAGGAAATTAAGTTCCTCATAGAAACCACATGAAAAGGGAAGTGGCAAATCTTACCATTCAAATTCTCCCTATCTTCACCATATCTAATGAGAACTCCAGCTGATAAAGTCTGTGTGTGGCTCAGGGTGTTTCTGTCCCAGATAGCAGAGACTTGAAAACAAGAGGAAACAATGGAAGTTACAATAGAAGTTGTTAAGCAGTTTAGGTATGTGGTGTGCCCTCATTTCCCTGAAGTAGTTGTCTATGAGTACAATACAGTCTCATCAAACATTCTATTCTCAATTACATGCATGTTATAATGCCCTATTGTACATTATGTCATTTTATTTTTAATGATCATTTAATGTTGGTATAGCTTTGTTGTTTAAAGACACTCTGCTCAGTTAAAACAGAAGATCTGCTGTGCACAAGACTGTAAGCTTTAACCTTGGGGAAAAAAGCATTAGGAAACAAAATTTTAGGGGATGAAAATATCACTCTGTCATTGAGTAAATCCATGGTGCTCCTATGTTACTAATATTATCTGTAGCTCTCATCTCTCCCCTCCTTCTTGAAGAGGATGTGGTAGAACTGGAAAAGTTCTGGAGAAGGATGACAAGGACAGTGGAAGGCAGAGAAGGGTTTTCATGCCGGTGACAGCAGGTAGATTGACTTCTTCAGCCTAGAAAAAGGATTATCAATTGAAGATACATTAGAATAAATCTAGTGGCACAGAAAGGTTGTGATTATTCAGTCACTCATCCAGCAAAAGAGTGAGATGGCATCAAGGAGACAGATTCAAATTAAACAAAAAGCACTGGTTATTCATGGCATGCTGAGGTAAGAGGAAAATAGCCATTCCCCTGGATTTTGCAGATATTGAAAGTT